TTCTTAACAATACCCAGCCCTAATGCAAACATTAAAGTTTTGTCAGATTTTTACTGATCACAGCAATCAATGCAATGATTTTCCAAGTAGAGAGTTTTGCTAACAGATAAAGTACTTTAGCAGGGTAGATGCTGGTTAATGTGAGGGCCTAAATCCTGTTCCTTTGGTTTAGGTGGCGCATTAAAAACGTATGCCAAATAAATAAAATCTACTTGAGTTTATCAAAACATGTATTTTTTAAGTTTGAGGCAGGAGGAAATATCACTGTCAAAGGGAAAGTAATCAATGAGAACAGCCTGTGAGCTGTATTATCATTGGACATCTAATGTTGTGCAATGTCACCCCATCTCCAACCCCCAGAGGGAGGTGGGAAGAAGCTGGTGCTGTCTCTCACTAAAACCTCCCCTCTCTGACTCCAAGTGAGAGCTGGAGAGAGTCATGCAGAGTGCGAGGATGTCAAATTACATTAAGGCTCAGTGCAAGGGCACTGACCAGTGCAGCCTGTGGTGCAGGGGGTTTCACTTTGCAAAAAGACGGTCAAGAACGGGACTTTTCAGCCAAAGACAAGCCACAGTCGAACCTTTGGGCTCCAATTGTTTTTTCTTTCTCATTGAGCAAACGTAATGCACATATTTTTTCATACAGCAACTGATTTCACTCAGATAGGGAAAGAACTAGTTTGTTTTCATAATGTGTGAATTAGAGCCTTACCGTGAATATTTCATGTGAGTTATTTTTCTGTTCCCAGCATGGAGTTCTATTTGTTCAATGGGGTAGACAGACATCTCCATGGGAGGACTCTGGTGTGACAGCAGGAGGGCAAGAGAGACCTCGGGCAGCACCCCGGAGTCTTGTGATGTCCTGTAGAACTCCACATATGCTCTGGACAAACATACATAAACATATACAAACAATTATATACAGGCAATTATGAGTATACACATTTCAGTGTTAAAATGGGTTAGGGTTGAGGGTTAAAGTAGATTTAAAAAAGATGTCCCTCAGTACCTGGAGCTCTCAAAGGAAATGGCTTTGACCTGTCCACACAGTCGAAACAGAGACTGTAACTGCTTGTAATACAGGAAACTGTATGGAGGGAGGTTCCTCACCTGAAAACAACACGTGGTCTGATGTTATTTTACAAAATTGCTACTTCCTATGTAACAAAGTCAAAGGTTATCCTAGCTGGGTTTTAATGGTCATTACACACCAGAAAAGTATTAAAAAAATAATAATAATAATGAGGTCAAACCATCCCACTATACCAACCATACCATCACTGTTGTTCTGGGGTTGAAGCCACTCAACTCTCTGGAGGCCAAGTCTTCATCTATATCTCCCTGGACAAAGTAGTTGGGGTAGTAGGCACCAGCAATGACCACCTAAGACAGAAAGAGGTGCAACCGAAAACAACATTTTTGTGTGTATGTTCAGCAGCTGAATATTTATTCACAATGATTACTGGATCTGAAGTGCACACTGCGAAACTTTACTTGGACCCGGGAGACCTTTTATGTAATATACATCCCACAACGTGCAGCACTGACTCTAACCTGCAGAATGAACTTCTGCCTGTGTGTGCTGGTGTAATCCGAGGGTTGTGGGTTCTCCGGCACATGCATGTTGAACTGAGACACGCGCTTCTTCAGGTCCTCGTACAGCTCTGCAACCTGGACAGTGAGTTACTGCTAATGAGGTCTGAACCACAATATTCAACAGCTCAATTTCAAAATATTAACTCATTGCAACTGTAAGTTGACATGTTTACAAATACATGAGAAAAGAGTTAACTGTGCACCAAAATGCTACAATCACCAACTAGCTAAAATCTGTCATAGAGTTTAAAGATCCATTAAAATATTTCAGGTTGGCTGCAAACCTGACATCAGTGTATTTACAGTCTGACTGTACCAAATTCACTAAATGCCTATGACTGTCAGTCACTCAACAGAAGTTCCATTCTTGGTAACATCTGGTGTTCACAGACAGACTAGGATGGGTGATGACAAAGACATCCTGCACTGTGGCTGGATGAACTCGTGCGACTCAGCTCTCTGCTTCATCTCTGTACCTCCCTGATCCTCTTGATCTGAATGAAGTTCTCTTTTCCCCAGTCAGACTCATCCTAAGTGGGGAAAGCAGTAAATGTAAATAAACCTCACACTTCAATAAAAAACACAGAAGAGGACATTCCAACATATACTTTAGTGAATACTTTCAATGGACAGGGAGACTTTTCTCCAGCGGAAGAAAGGAAGAGAAACTGAATAAACCATCTAAATAGGAACAACACTTCTACTTCCCTTGGTAACTGCTCTGTAAGCTATAGCGTTGTGCTATACTTCATTTACAGTGCTATTTTAATTCATTACTAATGGGACAGAGGAATGATGCATTCTTCAATGTCAAAATAATGTAAGATGAATAACCGCAGTGTGTGAAGAGGAGGCTCTAAACAACAGCAGTAGCAGACTATTCATATTTACAATCTGAAAAAATAAAATCAGCATAGCTTTTATGTGTGTAAGTGAGCTCATGTTTGGTTGTTGTTCTTACTCACCTTTGGGTGTCTCAGTTGTCCTTTCTTTTTGGACGAGTGCCATGCCTAACAGAAAGAGACAATAGGTTAGACTTTTAAAAACAACAGCCATAAGGCAAATATGCAAATCCATCAAACACCACAACTAGCTATTGACTTGGCATCAAACACATTACCTTGTAGGCATTGACAAAAGCTATGGAATCACTTGGTGTGCCACGAGCAAAGGCCAACTTGCTCCTGGAATGACAAATATTATTCAGTACACAGACAAAAAACATACAATACACTGAACCAATATCTGTTTCTGGCCACGAAGTAGTAGTTGGGCCTTGTAGGCATATACATTGACACTGCTGGAAAAAAATAAATACAATTGTGCTCTGAATATTTTATGGGATTTAAGGAGAACATTGCACGGATAGCTGGACATGCTATGCTTTAAATGACCACCCATTTTTGACATTTCAGTGTTTTGTATGTCCACAAAAAAGGAATTGTGTTTGTTGAGTGTGTCTTTTCTACTGCAGGGTATCTCATTAGCCACAAAACACTTTCATGGAACTAAAGTGTAAAAGTGAGTCAATAGTCAGCAGAGTCATCTGGACTATAACTGGAGTTATATGACAATATAATGTCTGAAATATCTTGTGTTATTTCAGTTGGACACAAAAATTATCTACCCTGACAGCCTGACAGTGTGTGAATCAGTGCAGCTGCTGGATGTGACTCACCTGTGGCCTGCAAGTTGCTGCATGGTTGGTATGGCGAAGAAACTCTTCAGAGAGTGCGAAGCAGCTGGGGACAAGAGAGGATGTTATGGTACTTTATAAAAACATATTACATGCACACAAACATTTCCAACAGTGCAGTAATGACAGATTTTTGACCAGTTGTCTCTACAACTATAAACACATGCATATTCAGTATCTGAGGTCCATTCCAGTACCGTCATGACAGACTAACCTATGATGAGGCACTCATCCAGGCAGCCAAAGATGTGTCCCAAGACAACCATCTTCCCCAGGTATAGGTCCACGGGTAAGTGGGCCAGCACTCGGCCCAGGAACGTTAGCTCGCCATCCTCATTTTGACCCCTGCCATCACTTTTCGCAGATAGCGCACCCATCTACAGAATGAAACATCAAGCTAGTGTCAAGAGGATTTTTTTATAGCCCCAATCAACACCTTAACCGACCTCTGAACAACAGTTTGACTGATCCTGATCCTGTTTAAGGATTTAGACATGAAAGTAGCTGATCCCTCTATGCCAACATTGAATTTATAAGCCAAAATTCAATATATCAAGTCAAACTTACTGTTCCTCTGGACAAAGATATCCTGTAGTTTTGAGAATTCATTGAAAATTGTACTATATTGATCACACTTCATGGTTGTACATTGAGATCCTCAGACAGAAACCTTTCAGCCGTTTTTAAATCAGAAATCAGAATAGCAGGCTAAATTTAGATTCATTAACATATTTAAAAAAAAACTCAAAACAAGTTTTATCTGCCTGTTATCTACTTTTCTGTCCTTGTCTTGTTATTGTCGTCTGTTTTGTAAATGTTTTCAGATTTCCTGGTTTTACTATTTTTTTGACAGCTGTATTATTATAAATAAATATGAGCATATTTTTGGTTCTATACCATTTATAGTTTTGAAAGATGATGTACTTACTGTATTTTGTGAGTGATAGAAAGAAACCAGAAATAACATACACTTGTTCCACTTTCTTTTCCCCACACAAACATATGACACAGCACTGCCCCTTTGTTACCCTCACCTAACAGTCGTGACGATGCCAACACTGGCTGACGCAAAGCTCCTGTCAGAGGTCTAATACTCTGTGACAGAGCTGGGTGGTCAGCTGCCCGCCCAAATACATCATTACAGCCAGACATTCAGACTAGACATTAATGGCTGTCTCAGATGAGAATCATCCATCTGCACTTATTTACCTCTTTGAGTTGAAGCACTGTCCTCACTATGTCACCGAGGTTTGGGGGTGAGAGGGCTGTGGAAAGGATGGAGCGGGGATCTCCCATGTCCAACAACTTCACCTTCAACATGATGGTGGCCAGCGGGGCAAGCTGAGAGGAAGGCAAACAGTATGCAATAGGTTCATTCTCGAATTAGGGCCAAAGCTGTATTAAAAAAAATTCTGGTTATCTGCACATTCTCTTACCAGCATCTCAGGGATCATGTACTCTGGGATTTCTTTCCTCCAGAAGTCTTTGGTAACAAGACGGTAACAGTAGCCCTTTGACACTCGACCTGCCCTACCTGACACCAAGAGTGGAGATAAGGATAATCGCACAGAAGTGAAAAGATACTTGTACTTTAGAGGTCAAGTTCTGTTATATTGTACCTCGACGCTGGTTGCAGTTGGTTTTGGATGCCCAGGTGAGACGCAGAGACTGATAGTTGGTATCTTGGTCACAGACCATGTGACGGGCCAGACAGAAGTCAATCACTGCAGCAAGGAAATAAGCACCAATACTGATTAAGATCCTATAAAAACAGCTACAAAAACAGGTAACATTAGGCTGAAAAAAAAATTAACCTCCCACCATATTTGACGTCTGGAACAGTCACCGAACTCTCAGCAATGTTGGTGGAAAGGATGACCTGTTAATATGAGGACACCATCAGTAATAGCAAGTAGAAAGAACACTTGTAAGACAGAATGAGATTTTTTTTACTAAGATAGTTTTTACCTTCCTGTATCCAGGGACAGGTAACAGAAACACACCGTTCTGCTCCTCCAGAGTAACAGTGGAGTGGAGAGGATAAACCTGCAGTCTGAACAACAGGAACACATCATCGTAATAGTAAATGTAAACATTCATTACAAGTCAAAAGTAATACAGGTTAACATGAACTACAGATTTCACAGACAATAATTCTGATTATTAGAAAGGAAAAGAGATGAAATAGACAATAGGTAGAAGGCAATATATACTAGCTATAAAGAAAGAAAGAGATCAAATAAAGTTCACCTTTTGTGGAACAGCTTGGCCAAGGCCTCCTGCATGTATCTTATCTCGTGTATACCAGGAAGGAAGACGAGCACACTGCCCCGCTCTGACGAAGTCCTGCCACCTCCTGTCTCTGCTATTCTGCTCCTACACAAACATACATAATCATTACTTTATCTGTCTGCTCATTTGGTAAATCAGTCAAATGTGCTAAAATATTAAGGCCCTACCTGGAATCTTTGCCCTCCATCTCATCAAAGCTCTGGATGAGACTGATGGCAAGATTGTACATCTCCACTGTGATGTGAGGGTCATCTATATGAGGCAACTCAACCTGATAAACACACACACACAAAATATACACATTAACTATGTGGCTTCAATACAAAGAAACAGTAGCATCAGCAAACATTTACTATCTAATTACCCTGCATGGAAACAGTCTGTGGAGGTCATCCAGATAAAACTCCTCAATGGCATAGGGCTCCCCCTCCACTTCAAACACATAGGCTGGGTTCATCTTGCCCCGAATTTGGGTGCCGAAGTACTCAGCAAACTGTCTGCAGTTAATGGTGGCTGACATAAGGATGATCTAAAAGAACAAAACAAAAACGTAGTTGAGAGACTGAGAGTTCAACTGATTTCTACAGATTTCTCCTTGATCTTGCAATTACCTTCACATAAGGAGAGTTGGAATGAAGAAGTTTTCTCAAAACCAGCAGGAGAAAGTCCATCTCCTCAGTGCGCTCATGAACCTTGGGCAAATGCAGAGTAGAAATTGTATAAAGAATCACCGATTAGATCATAGTACCAAATGAAACCTGAAACCCCTGCAGCATCATAATACTGATGGAACCACAGTAAAAACAAAAAACAATACACAATACAACAAACTACAACTAAATAAAAAGATAAACTGTAATTTAACAAGGCGTACATGAGTGATCTGCAATTTACCATTAACAAAAATATTATTTAAAACAAAACAAAAAACAGTTTATTTTAAGATTCCAGTTAACAAAGAAATGCACATAAAAATAATCTGCCATAATGTTGTTTATGCACCTCATCTACGAAAATGTGGGAGTACTCTGTGAGGCACTTGGATGAAACCAGTTTTTGCAGCAGCACTCCTGTAGTCATGTAAATCAGCCGGGTGTGCTCAGTTGCCATCTTCTCCAGTCCAACCTAAAACACAAATATACAAAGTTGTATTAGTAGATATGGTCAACAACACACAAACTATAAAATAACAGTTTCTGACACTCATGCTTTGGGGAATCTGACATTAGTTTGCATAATAAGGCATTTTAGGACATTTTAGGACATTTTAAACTAAAATTAGTGTGAGGCTGAGGCACAGCATAAATACATTTATAAATTGCACTGAAACTTTCAATTGACTTTTTACTGCACAACTGTCAAGTTGCTGCCACCAATGTTTTCTGAAATAGCCGGTCTAGTGAGGATGTCCCATCTGACCAATCAATGTAATTGTTAATGTGTTTTGTCATCAATTATTTTTCTAATATTTGTCAAACACTAAAGACAACTCTCCGCTCTCTACTCGGCACTCTACCTCTTACTGAGTGTACACTTACCGAATTCAAGCTTATCTCTTATACTGAACTTAGATCTTGTTAAACACACCTCATTCAAACAAAATAAAACTCACCAAACCGTCTTTATTAGTCTTTACACTGTTCCAACAATCACCAACTCTGGTGTCTAACCGCTTAGGCTCTAGATGGACAGGAATTAAAATAAAATATGTTGTCTCTTGTTTGTTGTTGTTTTACTCTACAAGAGGAAGAAAACTGAAACCATTTGAAAACATCAGCTCAGTGCAATGCCACACTATCTATGTCTATGTATCTTTGGTTTCCGTTGTATGGTCATAAATGTTTTTGGTGTTTTTGTAAAATTTTAATGTAATGCAGCACTACATACATCTCCAAACAACTCCCAACTTCCCATCCAAATATTTTGATATATATTTTCTAACAACAAATCAAGCCATTATTTTCTTCAATTTAAAAACACACACAGAAACACACAGTTCCTGTGAATAATGTTAGGTTCTACTGCCTCAGAGAGGCGAAGAGGAGAGGCCACAGCTTTCTTCCTCTTCTTTCTCCTTTTCCCATTGTCTTTAAAACAAATCTCTGCAATGCCAACAACTATTTCTGGTTACCAGTGACCTGTAATAAAATCCATTGCTACCCTTTGTTTGACCTCAGGGAGATTACTCAGATAACTCAAAAAAATCATTCACTGACTGCATGACTTTCACAAAAAGGGAAAGGGAACAAAGAAACAGACATATTTCAGATGGGCTTAAGACAAACATTAAAAAGCCTGTTTGAGGTACACACTAACTTGAGCATTTTATCTTTTACTAACATATCAGTGCTCCCACTGTCAGTGACATCATCCTTAACTCCAGAGGTCTGCACCAAGCGGAGGAGACAACAGTTATTATTAGATGTGCTGTTCCTGAGCTCTGTACAACACAGCCAGACATCCTGGCAACAACACACAAGAGCTTTTTAACACACACATACAAACAAGTTTCAGAAGAGATGCAAGTGTGTGTTTTTTGTGCCCAGGTCACCAAGGTCAAACACTACAGGTCAATCCAGTCACTACTGCCACATGACTTCTGTGTCACTCTCTTCTTTTTTCACCCTCTTCTTTTTTTATCATAAAATATAATCAGTATGCTCATGTATGTATCTGCATTGCACAGTTTAAGTAAATCAGATTCTTGTTGTTGCACTAACCTGATATCCCACCAGACTACCCAGGGTACACTTCCGCTGTCTGGCAACCCATCGGGCAATACTGGTGGCCCCAAGTTTGCGTGGTTGGGTGACCACAATGTTGCATAAGGCGTTTTTCTCATTGTAGTGGTCCAGAATGTACTGTGGCAGCTGCGTGGTCTTGCCACTGCCTGTGGCTCCTCGAATAATCACTACAGAGTTGTTTTCTATAAGAGAAATCAGCTGGAAGCAGGTGCGCACACACACACACACAAAACAAAAGTAGAACATGTGCACAGTTAAAACCCCATTTGGCCATTTGTTCCATATCACTGCAATAAAAAATAAATATTAAAATAAGTTATGAAATAGTAGAGCAGATGGATGTGCTAAGCTGATTTGTCACTGGAACTCCACACTTTATAATCGGCATTAAGAAAGTGCAGCTTAAATGAAAGCATGAGCTCCTGAAATATACACACACTACTCTTTATTAGTCAACACAAAATGTTAGAATTTAAAGTTAGCTCTTGTTCTGCAACATTTTCATCTTGGGCAAACAGTAAAAGCTTAAGTGCACCAGAGTCCTGAGGACATAATGGCAATTTTAGTAAAAACCCTAACATGTTCAAAAGAAAAAGTACGAGAATGAAGAAGAATGAGAGTGCACTTTCAGACCATCAGGCTTTGTGGATGGGTGTATATGGTGTATGTATGGTACATTGTACCTCCTTTCTGTTTTTGGTTATGGGCAAGTTGGGGTACTCATAGCTGGCAAGTGGAGGAGGGGCAATACCTAAGGATACAGAATCAAAGACACAAGAAACAATGTTAAACCCATAAAAGGCAGAAGGCATATTCCTGCATATCAGACTATGTAAGTAAGTATGATGTAGGATTAAAAAAAAGCTAACGCTAACTTTAATACTCACTCTCCGCAGGTTCTGGTTTTTGGAGCCACCCTCCATCAGCTTTCACTTTTTTCAGGCCGCCTTCATCAGGAACCTTTGGTGGGCTAAAATAAAATTAAAGCAATTTTAAGCAGTTTATAAATGTTGAAGCTCTATTGACCAATGAATTGCAATTACACCAAATCTTGCATAGTCTTACAGTAGCCTACCATGGACAAAAAGCCCTATGAGGCAAACTTAGGATTTTTGACTATATAAATAAAAATAATTTGACAAAAAATGTCTTACAGATGAATTTAAAATTTCCCCTCACATTACAAACATACTTCAATTACTTTCAAAGCCCATACAGCACCATCTATTTACTTTCCCTCTTGTACTCATATGTGATAGAGACAGTCCTTCTAGTCTAACCATAGTTCAGCTTACATCGGATAGTTTCATCTCAGAAAGCATAACTGACAAAATAGTCTCAAGGAGCATTTGGGTAAGAAAAATTAAATAAAATTAGAAAATACTGTTCATATACATACCATGTATTGGTAAGGACAGGCTTAAAGGACCAGTGTGTATGATTTAGTGGTATCTAGCAATATAGTTGCAGATTGCAACCATCTGAATAACCATATGCCTTCTTAGTGTGGAGCAGAAACTATGGTGGCCGCAAAACTCCCTGTGAAAGGTCCTATCTAAAGCCAGTGTTTGATACTGTAGAAACATGGTGGTTCAACACTGCCACTGTAAAAGAGGACCCGCTCCCTCTGTAGATTAAATTCATTCTAAAGGTAGCGGAAACACAATGCTTATTTTCAGGTGATTTAACACTAGTAAACGGTACCTATGGATATTACATTTCATTTCTGCCAATAGATCCTCCTAATAAATACATTCTGGAGCAGTTACAGATGCTATGTTTTATTTCTAAATGCAATAACACGTAGCACTGTCAATATGCTTTGTTAGATGTCACTTGCGTAGCTACGTCTGTGGAGGTTAATATTGGTACTGCAGCATTTAATGGTATTCATCAACATACCAACACATAGTGAAGATATGAAGGTGTTTTTATACTCATTTATAAACCCACTCATTTCTATCTTGCGTAAAACTGGGATTATTATTCAAACTGAAGTTCACAGTGGGTGAGCATACTGGAGGCTCTGCCCACATCATTACTTTGTACCATTTGAAACTTTGCTCCAAGTCTCTGCCTCCTCTTGTCTTTCCCCCTGGTCAGTTCCACACGGCCCGCAGCACTGTAGCCGGGAGAGCGTTCCCAGTTGTCTCTCCCTCTCTTAGTAAAGGGAGGATTTTATCGCAACAGCACAACCCCTGACAGTACTAAGAGGAGCTCAAACACAGCACACCCACAGCTCGTGCGCACACATGCACTCTCATCCTCTTCCTTTCTCTCCAATGCACACATTTCGTGCAAGCTACAAAGCAGCTGACCTTACAACAAAGCAGCACACTGCACAGAGGAGAGTGGGGTGAAAGGAGAGGAGAGGTGACAGCTCTTAGTCAGTTAGCAGTGTGTGACTAACTCTCCTGGAAAAAGTCTGCATGACAGGAGCAGTGGGAGGGATGATAAGAACAAGACAATAACTACAACACAAAAAGGAAAACCGCTTCCAATGAGCAGGACATTGGAGGATTGCTGCCAACAATCAAGTGTGCTCCTTTGATGGCATTTGACACCAAGGGATGTAGTCGACAGCAAGTGAAGGAATTGAGTTTACATGGACTAACCCATGGAGACAAGGAGCTGGAGGCTGGACTCTGTGAAAAGCTCATCTTTGCCCAATTTCTGAATATCTCACAAAAAAGCTGTGCAGTTTTCACCTGTAAGTACAGATCTTTCCTTTCAATTTTCAACCAGATGTTAGTGTGATATTTCCTTCCTGCACATGCTGGAAGACTCACAGTTGTTTAAGTTTTGATTTTTTGGAGCACTTGCTGTTTTGCAACCGTAAAATGTGTAAAGCCCCACATACAGCTTGTGTTCGTTAGGCTGACCTCTGACCCTGCAGGCTGTGTAATCCATCTGAATCCCAGGTGGAAGCTGTGTTGAATCTATCAGTCTGGAAAAAAAGCCAAACACACACACCTGGGACATCACCCTCATCAAGCCTGACTTGAACTGAAGGGAATCAGAGCACCCATCTGGCAGGGACCAGAGGTCAGCTTGGATAAGAGGTGATCATCTTTCATTGTCAACCTTAAAATGTGTATTATAGTAGACCTATATCGTTAGGGATACAATGAGAATCAACATCCTTCCTTAGAATTGAGGTTGTGAATTTTCTCACATATATCTTATTGTCGTCTTTGAAGGGGAAAATGTGACCCCGTTTTCAGGACAAGTACAAGATTTGATTAAGAATAGGGTAAGAAACATTTATTTAGTAGTTTAGTATTAATCACAAGCAGTCATTTATTGTTGACTTGACTCATTTTATCTTCAGATTACTTTTCCATTTCTTTCTCTCTCATGTTAGATCTTTTTACTTTTGCTTCATCTGCCTTTGTGAAGTTTGTCACGTGATCTAATGTGGCCTTGTCATTGGATCAGGTGGTTTTAAGCAACATATATTCCAGCATATTCAACTGCATTAAAAAACCTGCTGGGGCAAACTCATGGCCTTACAATCTAGAATAAAAAATGATACTTGTCTCTTCAGTTTTGCAGGACTGTGCTGTGACTGCCATGCCCCTGTTCAGCTGGATGAAATGGTCCCATGAATCAAAAGTGCAGGCTCAGGATGAAGCAGCACCTCTGAAGACCTCGGGTGTCATACCCAGTTGCATGTTGATCAAAGAGCTCCTGTGGCATGTGGAGGAACGTGAGCGGCTGGCGAGGGAGCTGGAGCGGGAGCACAGGCTGGCCCACAGCACCCTGGGTCTCCACTGGTTTCAGAAGTACCCCAGGTTACGGACCCTCATCCCCACATCAGAGCTACACCAGCTGGAGTTCCTGTGCGCCCAGATCCCACCCATCCACGCAGCCACCGTGCTCTCCAGGTGTTTGGTAGCGGCCATGCCGTGCTCCATCCTCACATTAGTATGCTGTCAACAGTGGCTAGCTGCTCCTGCATCAACACAAGGCCTGACAGCAGGCAAAGCAGAAAAGACCCAAAGGGAAAGGGAGGCAGGGCGAGCTGCCAAGAAAGCCATTATGTGTTACTGTCACAAAGGCAGGCAATATAGTGTGAACATGTGAAGGTGAAGGATGCCCTGTAAGGCTAAATGAAGCTAGACTGCGGGGGTTTCCACTCATCGTCTCTATGTTAGCCATAATGATATAAAAACAGGCTGATAAGTTGTTCTACATGGTTGAGCACTGACCTACTTACTTATTTGCCATATAACTCACTACTGGGTCACTACTGTGTGCTTACATAACCACATTACCAAAGAATAACACATTTAGTAAGAAACGTGTTATGTTTGTACCATTTCCAAATAAACGGTGCCGCTGTCCCAGATATGTCATTCTAGAAACTATGAGGCTCAACAGCTGAAGGAACATCCAGGTCTTACATTTATTTTGCTGAATTATAACAGTACCAGTTGAAAATGTGGGATGCCGACACAGTGTTGTTGAAAATGCTTGCTACTTCCACTAGTGTTAAATTAACTCTGTTACTTGCATCCTTCCATAGGTTTCGTGAGGTGCTTGCCACTAACAACATAAGGCCCTGGGAGCTGGCGTCTGTCTTCAAGCAAGTGCTGAGGGACTTCCTGAGTGAAAAGGAATACGATGAAGAGGACGACCTCTGTGTGCAGCCGGCACAGCTCCGACCAATGGAGGCTTGGACCAGCCGCTACAAAATGAAGCAGGGCTTTGTCACACCCACCGTCCCCAACTGTGGCGACCACCCAAGGGAGGAGATCCCAACAATCTCCGGATATGTGGACCGGGCCATGCGGCATTCCGGTTCGCTCATAGGGTTCAACAGGGACTGGGACCTTCCATACTACTATCCAGCTCCTCTCAGGCCCACGGGGGCATACAGCACCACACTGTGAGACGACACACTGTTCAAAATGTCTGAGGCCCTGTGTTTAACACCAGGAGAAACAGTTATCACATCCTCAGCAACAAGACGAGATGCAAAAACCTGATTATTTGTATTAGTTGTAAATATATCATAGCTTGTGAGCAAAAAATGTGAAGACAGCATTAGGCTAGGTGGACAATGTATTCAACTGTTTCATTTAAAACAACTAGTTTGTCACCTGCTCTTGCTAATCCCTTCCTGATGGACTGTTTTTATGTAGATTTTGTTTGGTTGGGCATGTAATTTCAATGGTTTACTGTCAGATAGTGAGTGTTATGTCACAAGGCCACAGGATGTGAATACATACGTGATCTGGACCATTTGGTCCCAGGCCTTTGTGGTATGTGAGTCTTTAAAGTGAAGCAATGTCTACTTGTGACTGTTTTTCACAGGCTGAAAATGTCTTTTTTTAGATTACTAAACAACGTAAGACTATAAAGTCAAATAAAAAAATAATAAAAGGAGCAAAGATCATAGGAAACTCAACTAAAACATAAACGTAGAATTTATGTAATTGTTTTTTTGTCTCATCTCCTGACTTGTTAATCAACCTGTGACCCCCAGGTTTGGAGCCACTGAACTCTTAGCTAACAAAGAGCAGTAAGCAACAGTTTAATACCTTTGGCAGATTGTGAAGATTTAAGGAAAGTTTGGTTACACTGAGGTCATGTTTGAACTACCTGGGAATGTGACATTTTATGGTTGCTAAAAATTATACATGGAGGATATTTAAACAGACCCATTAACCCACTTAATTAAAAAATATATATTCCTGGCAGCATTGCAAAGTCTTGAAAAATAACGGGAAAAATTCAGAAAATAATAATTTTTGGTCTGTGTTCAGAATTTTATGAGGGAGGCAGAAGAGGTCAGCATTTCTTAAACCTGGAATATTAATAATGCAACACACACACATAAATCTTACCTCAGAATTTCACAACAAAGTTGATATTTAACATAACTTTAAATTATTTTGGAAACCTCATTCACACTTAAAATGTGTCCATACACCCTCAGCTTTCTTCTATTACTGTGACAACACTAGCTCACCTCAACCACTACGTTTAGACTGATGCACTTAATTAACCTTAAGTACCAAAAGCTCAATCACCTCAATGTGCTCTTATACTTTTGCAAAAAAAACAACATTAAGAAATAAATAAAGTGCAATGGGTCCCACCATAAAAGCAGTGACACCTGTTAGCTTCTAGCTGGTGTCTAACTCGAAGCTAACGTTACCGTCAATTTATTTCACCTGGTTTCCTTCGACGACGCTTCGTCCAATTTTCTCTCCGCCGCTTCTTCTGTGAGTTTAACGTTAGCAAACGTCGTCCCCGAGATGAACCAATCCGAAATTTGCTCTGCGGTGAACACTTTCTTCATCTTGCAGGTGTTCACAGTCACTGCATTTTAAGTGTCTGTCCTTCAAACTCAACGCGAGCCAGGAGAGTGAAGCGTGTGAGGCCAGTGAGGACTGCGCTCTACATCGCCCCCTGGAGGCTGGACTGGGAACCACAAAACTGAAGACTGAAGACTTCTGCGTTTATACAGCACATTTATTATAGAATATTATAGAAATATTCAAATTATTTACCTAGGAAAAAGTTACAATAGCACACTACAAAAATATAGAAGTAAAAGCCTTGCATTCAAAAGTTTACTGAAGTATAGAACAGAATTAGAAGTAATAAAAGTGAACATACTCGTGCAAAATGGCCCTTATCTGTTTTATATATCATTTAACTCTAAATGTAAATTTTAACTCTTAGTGATTTATATAGTTTTGGGCAGTTTTAGCTATAACAATGCATTATGTTACATTTCTATGTAAAGTACAGTACTTATGTAGTAAGAGGTACATGCACTTTCCATAACTGATACCACATGCATGTAACGTGTCATATTCTAGTATTAGAAAGTCAAAGGCTACTCGTCTTCAACTTTTGATTTACCACTATTAAATATCCAAACACCTGAATCACATACGTTTTTGTGATGAAATAGTTTATTTTTACAGTCCCATCACACAACATGAAGAGAGACATTAAAAGTTACTAGAGGTAAAAAGAATAATAAAAATGACATTATTTTCATTATGCTAAAAAAGACATATACCCCAGTATGATGGGAAAAATACAACAAATCATATGCCATGGATAGATTTCAGATGATCAGTCAACAATCACAGCACCAGACATATCACCTAAAACACAGTTTTCACATTAAGGTATTATTCAGCTTTATTGTCATTTCAATGTGGTCTGAGAACAATGTGACTAGGTGTACTAATGTACACCCAGAGCAAACTAACAAGAAAAGATGACTAATGGAAGTTGTCACAGCTGGTTTGGCCATGCTGCTGTAATAGCAGAGGTAAAGGTACAGTAAGCCTCCATGTAAAAAACTGTAGGAGGTGTTATAATATAAGCAAAATCATTACAGCCCATTCCCTGAATGAAAAAAGAACAAAACAACATGAATCACAATGCCTTTGTACTTGAAACCATTAAAAGAGTTAACCAAATTAATAGCATTAAGTAAAAGTATAAAATAAAAACAGTTTTACTGGGAAAGATGCAAGTTCACCTTCATTCAAAAGATTTTACACCTTAAGATTTAAGTCATCTCCAGTGGCGGACATCCAATGTGGTCTCGCATTAAGCCCATCTCCGTTCTGAGCTTTTCATTTTCCTTTTACAACAAAATAAAAAGTTGATTGACATGATGCGTTTACAGTATTCACAAGACCAAAACAAAACATCCTTTAATGATAGCAGAAATGTTACTTACCTCTTGAAGTTTGGTGTTTTCCTTTTTCAGCTTCACCAGATATTCAATCCTCTGTTTGTGGTTCTTATGCCCCACAAGTTTGCCATTCTCCTCAGACAGCTGAATGTTCTGCTTACGGAGAACCTCGTTCTCCTGTAAGAACGATAAATATATATTAGTACTCAGAGCCAAAAGGCAACAATTTTGATAATGGATCAATCATTTATGTCACAGACACTGTCTTGTTTCAATTTTTCCAATGAGAGAATTTGCAGCTTTTCTCTTTTTATATTAGTTTAAACCGTCGGTCACACAGCAAGACATTGCAACAAGCCTCTTTTATATATATTTTTTTTTGGAGGGACCTTTTCCTTTATCCGATAGGATAGCTCAAGATAAACCATAAAGGGGGAGAAAATGAAAAAAATTCCATTTAGCTGCTTCAGTTTCAGGGTCCTAGTGTTTATGCTGGCTCACTGTCACAGCTTACTGGGACACAAACAGAGCCATCATTAAAGGCATTCCTAAGAAACAACGTATAGACCCATACAAACATAATACCTCTCAATCATCCCTTATGACCCACTACAAGTGTGTGGCCCTGCAACCCTCTCCCTGCAGTTCTCAGGTCTGTCTGTTTGACCGAGGGCAGACATGGTGAAGCTGCACTTTGAATTGAATTTACACAAAATCCAGAAATATGGCACCTTCCTGCAGAATTTAAACAATGTAAAATAATGTTTTATTTATCTGATTTACTGCTTTGTTCTCGCTAACGTCGCTCCCTCTCCTCGTTCATTTTCTATGTATTTCGACCAAAGGTGCTCTCTGGCTCACCTGTGCTTGGGGAAGAGGGGTCAACTTTGAATGGTGCATCTACAAACAGCAACAGACAAATCTTGCATAATATGGCTTTAATGTCATTAATAGCACGTTGGAGTTTCCTACTATATAAGTGGTCAAAATGGCTGTAAAAAAAAAGGCCTCAAGATCAACTTGTGTTTGAGGAAAAATATTACATTGTGCCACCGTAATCAGAGAGAAATATCATTAACCAACCCCAAACCCTTATTCCCAGTCTTCCTCTTGAGAATGTGAATATGCATACTAAATGTCAGCTACTGACAATGTTGCCTGGAGTACATTTCATCATACTTGAAAGCTACATCATCCCAAAATGTTTCCTTGACTCAAAGATGTACTAATGTAGTCCAGTTCTGACCTGGAGCAGTTTCTCCTCATCCTGTATCCGGTGGTTCAGCTCCCTCAACTCTAGACAGCGGTTCCTCAGCTCATTGGTCAGCTCCTGAACACAGGTTTGAGACTGGGACACCATCGACTCCTGCGCCTGCAGTCTAATGCACAGCAAAAAAACAAAAAATAAAAGACAAGCTTGTCAAATCTCAAGCATTAATTAAGAATCGGTATAGCGTACAATAACGAACGGTGCTTACCTTTTTTGGGTGTCGGACAGCTTCTGCATGACTTTGCTCTATTAACAAATGAGAAACAAATAATTAATTGATTATCTAATAAAGAGAAAATAACCAGCAGATAAACAAATACAAACCTTCTCTGCTCTCTCCTCTTGTAGCTCTTTAAGTAAGGACTGCTTAAGGGCATCATTCAACTCCTCACTGAAAAGACAACATTATTAATTTCACTTACACCATCAACAGTGGATGATCAGATGCATTCAGGGCACTCGACTGCTTAATGACTGAATGAATAAACTTTATTACCCATTATTATTTCCATTCTGGGTCTGCTTGGTGTAAAACTGGTCAAGTAAAGCCTGGATCTCCATTCGGACCATCTCTTTCTCAGTCAGCTGCATCTGAAGACAGTGAAACCACAGTATCAATATTGATGAACTACAAAGTCCATTAAGACCTTAAACCTTTTTAAATTGTGTTGAGTCTAGAGGATAGTCTTTTAGTACAATGTTGAATGGCTATGGATTCATTTAACTATTGCACAAAGATATACCTTAAGCCTTTGGATCTCGTCGTTCTTGGCAGCCCTCTCCGCATTCAGCTCGCTCAAGAGAATCTCCATGGTCATCATGGAGGAGCGGCGATTCTCCAGCTCTCTCTCCTGGCTCTCTAGCACCTGGGTCAGATCCCTATTGAAGCTTCCTGGAGTGCAGGGTGTCTTTTACACAGAGAGAGAGAAAGAAAGAAAAAAAAAAAAAGATTAGTACATGTTGCATTTTCTGACAGCAAATCAAAAATATTAAACTGGCCACACATTTTATTTGTGAATGCAGAATTAAGGAACAAATAAACCTCAAACAAGTCTTACCCGAGGTAATGATTTAGGTGTAAATGTCGGCTCAACAAAAGGTTTGAAATTGCCATTTCGGATAGTTTTTTCAACAGCTTCTTGCTGTTGTTGCACCTGGTACAAGAGGAGTTTTGGTATTTAATAATCTTGATAAGATGTTACTGATACTGATTATTTTTCTCTGATAATAAAAACAACTTCACCTTCTGCTGTAGATTCTGTATCATGACGTCCTTCTTGGCTGTTTGCTCTTGAGATGCTTGGAGCAGGCTGTTCTGCTCATCTAAGACCTTAGTGAGTCTCTCAACCTCCTCAGTGGCATAAACAACCTCCTCCTGCAACACCTCCACCTGAGGACAGACGCACATTATCTATATTGTAGCTTCATTAATTAGCCTATTTTTTATTTACTATCTACAAAAACTGGTTAGAACATTAATCACTTGCAGTAAATCTACAAACATTCACACAAAATGTATGAACATGATCAAACTTGCCTCTATTTTGTTGGATGCTAAACACCGGTCCAAAGTTTCTTTCAGGTCACAGATTTCAGTCTGCAACTTAGAGTACTGCTCCCTGATATCCTCCCTTTCAAGGCAGGCAGTATTGTACTTGGCCTGGAAAAGCAATGACATAATTATTATGATGTCATTATTATTAATTATCTGACCAATTCAAACATTAAACCTATCTACAGCATGAACATGTAACTATAGCAAACAATTAAGTTATTTAAGACAAATACAATTGAGTTGAAATAAGAGGCGTAATAAAGTACTGTGATGTCTTTGATGTCTTCAGACAGGTGGGTAATGATCTGGTCCTTCTGGCTCAGCTCACAGCGGAGGTCTCTGGTTTGGTTAATCAGATCTAAAACAACGTCCTGTTAAAATACAAAGGCGGGATTCAGGAGGATAGATGACACACTGCATATTTGAAGGAATAAGAAATTCGAGAGAATTATTCACTCGGGCTTACTTTGTCCTGTTCAATCTTCTGCTCCAAGCCTTTTATCAGTTCATTGGCAGAGTTTAGATTTAGCTCAAGATCAACAATTTTGGATGCCTTCAAAACAAAAAATTGGACATCCGGGCTTAGTAACTGAGCTGTAATTACTGTTATGATAAATAGTTATAATTTTTAAAACATGCATACTGTTCTTGGGACTGACCTGTTGCTGATTTTGAACTGTCAGGTCTGAGACTTGTTTCTTAAGCTGTGTATTCTGCTCCACAACTTCAATAAGTTCTCTGAAGGCATACACCAAGATCACTCATGTTAATATAAGTTATTTTGAAAACCATAAACTATAAAACAAAACAAGGACAAAGCTATGAAAAAAGACTGGGAAAAAAAAACTCACTTTGATGTATTTTCTTTGTTTTCTCTTAACTGGGAGATCAGGGTGC